GGATGGATGGATGGATGGAAGGCTGCAGGGATGCAGGGATGATAGGGTATATAAATGATGGGTGGATGAAAACCAGAATGGATGGATGGAGGTTTGGAAGGATAGATGAGCCCATGAGGAGACAAGATGGTGCCAATCAGAGGTTGGAGTGCCAAGAACACAGTGTGACCATTGCCCATGTAAATATTCCAATGTTTCCACTGCCCTTGGCAATGTTTCACCTAACCACACAAGGTGGTGCCCCCAACTGCCCTGTGCTGCCCCAGAGCTAAGACCAGCGTTCCCAAGCTCCTACCACATGCAGCTGGCCTGCACTCCTGCAGTTCCAGGAGGCTGATCCCAGACACGAAGCAGTCCCAGGACACAGCAGCACATACCTAGAAGGCCCACCTGAGCTCCAGCACCTGTGACCGGGATGACAGGGCTGGGCCCAGACCGCTGGGCCTGGTGCATTTGTGGGCACACACCCCTCTTCCTAGGCTAAACCACACCAACCCCAGTGAAGGTCCATCCAGCCAGGACCCAGCTCTCCTCAGTCAGGGGACAGCAGGCCCCCTCTCCATGAGTGTCCAGGGTCAGCGGAGTGGGTGGGTCAGGGCCCCCACCTGTAGGGACTTGAGGACCAGTCACAGACCGAGCAGCCCCTCTTTGGGAAAGTGGAACCCCTGACAAGGCGCCTCTCTGTCTTATAAGACGCTGAGAACAGCCTGGTGTAAGGACGGGGCAGGCAGGACCGGGGCCACCACCCTTGTCTGCAAGTGACATGCGTAGACTCTGGGACCCTCCAACCTCAGACTGCCGTATGCCTCTGCCCCCTCTAGCCTCCTGGGACTGGATGGCTCCGAGGGCCCTGGCCCTCACCCCAGCATGGGAGGCAGGAGGCGGGCAAGCTGAGAACAAAAGTTGACTCCCAGCCAGAAAGGCTGGCCTGGGGGCTTAGGGTGTGCCCTGGGCTTCCAGCCCTGAAACACCCTCGCAGGCTGCTTGCCACTGAAGGAGCCCGGAGCAGGGCAGGGCCAGGAGGGGCAGGGTCTGCGGGGGCTGGACAGGGCTGCGCATGTCTGGGCCAGGCTGGGCAGGGCGCCAGGTGTGTGTTGGTTGGGGGAGGAGAGGGCGGCCTCACGGGCCGGGCGGGCGGTGCAGGGCAGCGAGGAGCTCTGTGGCGCTGGAAGAACCTATGATCTCGTGGGGGTGGGGAGGGGTTGTGCTTGGCAGTGTGGGTGGGGCTTTGGGCTGTGGGCGGTGCTCTGTGGGGCGGAGCTTGTAGGACAGTAGAGAAGCATTGCAGTGTGAGCGGACCCCTGGTGTGGGGCGTGGGCCTGTGCGACTAGGAGGGACCCTGTGGGGCCAAAGGAGCTGTGTAGCGCAGGGCGGGTCCTAAGAGGCAGGGCGGTTTGCAATGTGGATGGGGGCCTCTGTGAGGGGGACAGGGGTGGGGGGGGGGGTGGCACGTGGGGATGGGAGGAGCCGGGTGGAGCTGGGGGGGGCCTTGGTGTGGGGCGGGGCGAAGGGGGCGGGGCCTGGCCATCTGGCCTTCCCACCCAGGTGCGCTCGGCAGCACTTTGGGCGCGTTCGCTCTACTACTTTCGTTGAGGGGATAAATGTATGAATCCACGGCTTTTAGAAAGGAGGAACACAACTGGACCCCAAGCCCAGGGCCGTGGGGTCTCTCCCGACTCACAGAGACCCTATAGGGCCGTTGAACTGCCCCGCGGAGTTTTCAAGACCGGCACCTTTCCGAAGCGCACTGCCTGGTCTTTCACGGACACCGGACACCTCTCCACGAAGCCACGGTTGAACCCTAGGCAGAGGGAGGGGGCTAACAACTTGAATGGCAGGTGTTTTGCCAACAAACATGAACCAGCCGTGCCCCGGTGAGCTTCCTCTGCCCTTGCCTGAGTGGCCCAGACTTATTCAGTCCACCCGGCCGCTGTCCTGCACTGACCGGGTGGCGAGCTGGCCTGCCATCTACTCCGATGAGAGGCAGCAGCAGGCCTGTCCCTGGCTCATCCCCTCTTGTTTTCTAAAGAAGTCCCTCTTCTCCTTATGCACCAGATAATCAGCGTCGGTGGCCTCTGAAGTGCAGGAGACAGGGGGCTGGTTAGGATTCTGCCTGCCCTCCAGGTCCTGGCTGGGAATCACCTGTTCATCACACCCTTCTTTTCCTCACCAGCACCTGGGCATGGGCAACATCAGGCCTGGAACTGCCCTGGGCCCTAGCGCTTCCCAGGATCCCTGGTGGCAGGTGGTCACACCTCAGGCTGCACTCCACAGGAAGGAGGGCAGTGTGAAACCCCCAGGCTCTACAGTCCTGTCCTGCCCATGTGGCCATTTCTCAGCACTGTGAGCAGCCCATCCCAGCAGCCCCTCTGCTCCCGACAGCCTCAGGCCTTCCAGGAGTGTGGGTGGGCGGCCAGCGGCAGGGAACCAGGAGACCACTCCTCGGAGATGACTTTCTCCTTGTTCTGGAGAAAAGGCGGGGAAGAGAGCAGAGCCCAGCCCGGCGTGCAGGGACGGGGCCTCCTGTGAGCACAGGCCTGTAAGCTCCAGGAGGGCCCCAGGGTAGCCAGGCCTCAGGGGCCAGACGGGTGGCACTGGCAGAAAGACATCTAGACTCAGCCTCTCGGCAGACTCTCCCAGGCCCCAAACGTACCTCTAAGGGCTTCTTGGACGGTGGGGGCACCTCACCTGGCCCCACCTTACCATCCACGATGGCTCCGCCCACACAACGCTGCTGTCACCGATGCCTGCCTCGTGTTGAGTGCATGGGGCCGGTCCCCACATTCAGAAATAGCCCCCATCACCCTGTGGCTCTGAAAGGCGCACCCCACATCCATGGCCCCACAGGGACACAGGGCTCTGGCCCGTGACGGTAGAGCCCCTGGGTCTCAGAGCCGCTGAGAAACGTCTCCTCTCTGCTGGCAGGCTCCATGTGCCAGGTACCTGGTGGTACCCTGAAGTGAGCACAGCTCTGCCAGGCTGGGTGTCCCTCTGCTTCCCTGGCATGGGGCGCCAGTGTCTGGGGGAGGGGAGTGGGTAGAAGTAGGTTTGTCTCAATGGAGCCTCCATGCAAGACGGCTCAGTGACATAGCTCTATCCACCCTCAGGAGCAAGATGGACCCCAGGCTCCAGTAAGAGGGAGCGGACCACTTGGTGTTGACCCTTCCAGTCAGCAAACCGTATGGTCTTCTCTGCTGGGACGACAGGGTCTGGAGCGTGCGGTCACACCCACCCTCAGCGAGGACATCTGAAACCATCCTGAAGCCCGGGCTCTCTGCGACAGGACAGCACCTCTGCGCACACAAGGGAGTCCTTCTGATAACGTGATCTACAGAGAGTTGCTATGGCCAGTCGCAGGGATGTCCAAAAGAGACCTCTCTGCCAAGGGACACTGGGGGAGAAGGTCACAGAAAAGGACATCGTGTCCTTGGGTGCCTGTTCCCACTGTGCCCCAGCACCCGTCACAGCCTGACGTCCCACACAGCCCAGACCACTCCAGACCAGGAGACCTTCCCCCCATGGAGTTGCTGGCAGAAAGGGTGAGAGTAGCCCTAGTTCACAGAGGGGGAGTGCTGATTGCAGGGGAGCACACAGAAAGTCAATGAAGAAAAGAACCAGCCAACTGACCAAAGCGCCAACCAAGCGGCTGACCAGAGACCCAACCAACCAACCAACCAACCAGTAATCCAATCAACCGACCAAGGAGCCAACAAGGAAACACCTTCTCCAGATTCCAACTAGATGCCAGAGGAGCCACCTTTCCCACACGTCAGTGAGGAGTCTGACCTGGCATCTGCTCTTTCAGGCTGACTGTAACAGGAATGCTTGCTGCTGTGCTGTGCCAGAACGCCCCAGACTGCATCGTCTTTGACGGCTAACCCGGGAGAGGACGAGGGGCCTCCCTTTCCCTGAGGAAGAAGGCAGGCTCCACCGGGGCTGGACATCTGGACCCAGAAAGACAGCCGAGCCGGTCACTGGTGAAAGCAACGAGTCCCAGGAAAACACCACCAGGCATGTTCCCGATTACATAGAAGCACAGAAACACATGGTCCCCTTGTGTTTGGAAAAAAAAAACAACACCTTAAATGTGTTTGTCACTGGCAAATGAAAACTGTGATGCTGTCCATGCCAGAGCACGTGTGCACAGGTGTGCTGCCAAAGAAGCCATGTAAAGGCCACCTCTGGGGAGGGGCTGTGGTCGGGAGGAGTGGCTGCTGTCACCCGGGTGCACCTCGGATTCTCAGATAAACGGTCAGCCAGCCACACCCCTGGGGTCTCCATCTTCACATTCAGCCGAGAGCAGGCTGCAGACACGTGGATAAGAACTTTCCAGCAAGCTCCAAAAGGCAATCCCGGGATTTGCCGTGCACCCAGCCTGCCAGGGCGTCCAGGGGGAGCAGGTGGCATGCAGACACGCCCTGCAGTCACCCCAGCCCCACCCCTGCTCAGACCCTCAGTCTCTCCAGCACCCATGCCTCGAGCACCCTTCTCCTCACCCCTCATTCACACTTGGGGGTGGCCCTCTTCCATTGTTGTGAAGAAGAGGGTGCACCCCTCAAAGACACCTGCAAAGTACTCTCCTGGGTCCCCAAAGCATTTGTGGGCAAAGGAGATTGAAAGATAGAGGCATTCTTCCACAAACTTCATGAAGGCCCCTCCTCCCCATTTACACTGTATGAGGTACAGTCAGCCATCTAGATTGACAGGCTGTCAGGCTGTGCCTGGGTTACCTGCAAACCCACATCCTTTCAAGTCAGAGACTGGAGCATGCCCGGATTTTGGAATCGTTGATGTGGGTGGGTGGGGAGTCCTGGAGCCAACCCCCCCAGCAGGTCAAACACAGACACAGAAAATGGGTATGGTTGTGAATGGCCAAAGGAAGGTGCCCATGGGCATGTCAGGGTGGCAGTTTAAACAAGGCCACCCACTCCGAGACACAGCCACTCTGCCAGAAGTGGGGGGTCCTCTCCCCTGATCCCAGGTGGGCTCTCTGGGAGGAGGGTGCTGTACCCCTTAGAAACTGGCTGGTCCACTGCCTGGTCCCTTGGGGACCTTGTGGAACCAGACAGAGTACTGTGAGCAGATGCAGGGATGGGGGATCGGGGAGAGTCTTGTGTGGTAAGAACCCTAGTCTCCAGCCGATAGCCAGGACTCACTGGTCAGCCAGGCAGGAAGGACCATGGGAAGTAGACTGCCCAGCCCCAGCACAGCCACCCTGACCTGTCTGTCCCTGCCCTGCCCACGCTGCAGCCGCACGCGTGGGACAGAGATTGCCATGTAGACGCCAGACACGCCCTGGCTTGAGGCGGGGCTGCTTTGAGCAGCAGGTGTGCACAGCCAGGAGCTACATGTAACAAACCCCACAGGATGAGAATAAACAGGTACCACCAAAACTCTTGGGACTGAAGAGGTGGGGGGCAGGGGGCAGGGGGGTGTCAAGCAAGGAAAAAGAGGTCAGTGGCAAAGGCC